CATATTTAAATATATATTTAGATAGATTTTATACATACATATTCATATATATTTAAATAGATTTCGTACATATAGATACACATATTTCATATACATTTCCAACGCCAATGAGGAAAGTAAATATTAAAGAGATTATGAAAAAGTTTTTTGTTTTACTTATTTTATTAATTATGATTATAGCTATAGGGTATAATTATCTAATATAATTACCTATAAGTCTTTTTCAGATTATTTAATATGTACTTGTATTGTACGCATTTTTTCTGTAAGAATAAAAATTAAGTGCAAAAAGAATATTTAAATAGTCAAATATATTATATTAAATAAATTTGAATTTTTCTTTCTTAAAAATAATTCAACATGAAGAAAATAATTGAACATAAAAAGTAACTACCTATTGCATCAAGATAGAGCAATAGCTTATATAATATTGTCCAAATTCGATGAGCTTTGTAGGATTAAAGGAAAACTAAAATTTCGTTTCGGGGAAGCTATCCTGAAAGGAATGCACGTGAAATTCCTTAGTCGCACCGTTCACAGATGCACGTCTTCCAAAATAAATCGCAAATGGAAAACGTCCAATGTGCGAAAACGAGAGAAGAAGGTTCCCACGCGTTGATTGATTCGACAGTTCCGGCGTTATCGTCGCGATAGAGGATGAGCGAGACGAGCTTAGGAAAAAGGGGCCAATCTAACTATCGGGAAATAACTAAAGATTACTTTAGTATGGTGACAGAGGCGGTGACAGCAATATCGCTGAATTTCCGAGACGACGTCGTCATCACTGTCACCTCCGTCTCCTCCAGCATCGAAACGCGACGCTCCTTCGTCGTGTGTTTCTCTTACGGGCGTCGTTGAGCCTCAGATTAGAAAAACTCATGCTCGCAGCGATGGGGGATGCGCTTGAGGAAAGTAGCTCCCGAGATTATTACCGCTTGGACGGAGACAGGAGGTCTTTACGAGCGGAGTGACGCGCAAAGTGACCGTATCGTCCGGAGGAGAAACGACGACGATGTCGAAGTGCGCGGAACCTGGCAAAAATCCATCGTCCGCAACTAGCACAGCACAATTTGGCGGCCGAATAATCATTTGAACTGGAAGGCTCGACGAGAGAACTAAATCGCGTTAGGTTATTTCCTCATTTTTCGTTATTTCCTGAGCACAGAGGAGCGCCGACCGTATCGTATTTTCTTCTTACACGTCGTCGTTGCGAATTTTTTCCTTGGCCTTTTCTCCCGAAAAATACGCTCTCTCCTACCGGAGCATTACACACGAAATTCGACGAAATCCCTGCTTTTCGGCGAGCCCTTGAATTTTTCAGTATGCAACGGGTAAATCGTTGGTATGCAGAACGCGATACACACAACGCGGCGCGTTTGTATATGTAGTGAGAAAATGTGTTTAATACCATACACACGACATATATATATATGCCTCCTGCACATAAATGCATTCTTTATCGCGATCGATCTTCAAAATAACCTATTTTATCACAACGATTTAATATGCGAGCGCGTGCACGTCCGCGTACTTTGTGCAGTGAAATAATTTCATATTTAAACACTGCGTACACGAGACGAAGGCTACACCATCGTGGTTCCATTGGCGGCACGACTAATCCGCAGTCGAGGGCGTTTATACGAATTAACGCGATAAACTGGATTATTATTTAGAGAGACGTGCTTTTTCAACGGCGCGCTGAGGGAGGAAAAAGCTCCCGAGACATCGAGAGGCTTAACGAAGGGGAGTAGGAGTCACGGGCTTGGTAGGGGCGAACGGAAGGAAATGGACAGCGAAGAAGAAGGGTGCAATTTAGTCGGCGTAAGCCCTAAAGTGGTGGAGGAACGGCCAATTAAGCATCCACGACGTCGAATCAATTACAGAACTCGAGTGTATCGGCGCGAGGCGAACACGCAGCCGCAAAATATAGCTCGCGCGGACTGTAGAATACTATAAGTTTTGCGGTCAGCGCGATAGTTTCGCAGAAATTATTCGTCAAATTCGGAGTGCTACGCGAAACAAGGTCCACCACGCTGTCAGCATGTGCTAATAATTAAACAAGCCACGAAAACCGGCTAACAACCAGAACAACTGGCGCATCACCACAAATCTTCGTTACGAATTATCGCGCGAACACAAACAAAACAAGAATGTGGGATTTTTTTACCACGTTCGCACGTGACGCTTCGCAACATTTCCCGAGCGAGTACTCCCCGTGCAAAGAGCACGATATTCGCTAAATAGTACTCAATCATGCTCAAGAATTACATTGAGGAAAGAAAAATGGTTCATTTAACAAAAATTATAGTTATTTTTTACCCAACCATTTTTTGTAATAAAATGGTAGTAATAACATTCATATAAAGTTATTATCACTAACATTATAAGATTTATAAAAAAATTTTTTTCTGACTGTTCCGAGAAAACTAATGTAATTGCCAAATTCATTCTTTATGGTTGAAGAGAAAATTTATATAATTTTAGGTTTAATAGATATTTTACTAAAAATTGCTGTTATATGCCAATCTACACAGTTCTTACAGCCAAAATTCTTATAATATGTAATATTCATTTAATATATCATCATTTATAGTCGCCTCAATCGAATGAATATTGACTCTCTCTGTTGCGATCTGTAGAATAAATACTATGATTGAGAGATCCATAGAGTTTAGTTATACATATAATGTTGAGAGTGTCACTCAACACCTGGACAGGTAGCAAAGAAAACCAGTATCCCTCTTCCAGAGTATTATAACCATTTTGTATGCATGAGCAAAAAGCAACATTAATATTTCGTTATGGCAATTATATTTAAGCAAGTTATATCCTTGCGTTTTTTCTATAGCGTAATTTATAGTAATTATTTTTCTATGCGTGATTATAGCTATAAATACAAACATTTTTCTCTCAGTGTAATCACGAAATTAATTTTTTTCCGTGATACACGATTTATGCGGATCTCCCGCAGAAACACATGTGTGACACTCAGCCGAATCGATCGATGGGTGAGATGCCGTCGCGGCGAAAAGTTGAAAGTGGAACAAAGTGCAACGAGATTTTGTCCGATATACATGACAGCTGATATGTATCATACATGTGATGCATCGGTAATTCGAGCTTAAATAAGCTTTCTTTTTTTTCCCATTTCTTTGTCCTTTATCGCACACCATCACACAACCGCGGAGGAGGGATTAGGCACGTCGGACGGACGGGTCGTTCCGTCGACGACACCTCTCCCGTGCGAATCTCATTTACATAGTTATAGGAATATTTCAGAGAGATGTTCATCGGGCCCACCCAACGACTGCGCTCCGAAGGAATAACGATCAGTTTGCTCGTCGCTCGCAAGCTTGCGAAATTTTCAGGTCCGCCGCGATAATCGCTGGCGATCCGTTCCACTTAATCGCGTCAATTCGACGAGTCGCGATTTGTCGAAGTCGCCCGGGACGTTATCTAATCGCGATGGCGATTTTGCTTTCTTTCACTTGAAAGATGAAAATACTTTCCACGCTGATACGTTCCACGGCGGCGCGGTGAGAAACTTTGCGAATATCTTACTCGCTGCAAACGGAGAACGGAGGGAAGTTAAGAAATTATCGCGTCTGATTTCCCGACTGGTAAGCGGAGTGCGCGATTTCCGTTCGCGGTTTAGCGCTTCCTCTGCAGACCAGAGAAAAAGAGGGAGAAAGAGAGAGAGAGAGAGAGAGAGAGAGAGCCACTCGCTGCTGCATTGTTTGGAGAAGCTAATGGTATACTCGAAGCGACGCAATATTACCATATAAACCACAAAACTCTTCGTGTTCTCTATACTTCTATCGACCTCGCCTTCGTCCTTCGCCCTTTACCCTTTGTCTCTACCTACGTACCCTACCATAACATATTTGGTTCAGCTGACATAGAGAGCAGAGTGATTCTCTCCCCCTTTCACCCACGTGTTCTTTAAAGGGTAACCTACCATCTCTGGTTATCAATTAAAATGCAGTATCGATAAAATATATACTTTATCGAAAAAGAAGGGACAAAAATACACTGGATTGTCTTCGCGAGCGCAATCATGGCGCGCCGCGAAAATATCGGACCGACCCATTTGACCCACGCGTCGTAATTTCAGCACGTCGAATCGTTCCAATATTTTTCGCCGCATTTCTCGCCTATCGAGAGGCGAGCGTGCTCTGACAAATGTTAGTGCTTCCCCGTCGGACCGGAAGGCTAAGCAACGAATCGGTGGAACGCATAATCGCCGTTCGCGCTGCTAATCTTCTCCTTCCCATTCTTGCCGATTCTTTCGTACGTCCGCAGCCATAAAGAACGTCGGAGTAATCCGTTCGCTTAAATACAAAGATTCGAAGAGAAACTTTCGTTATTCCGACAGTCTCTCGTCCCTTTTTCTCTTTCTCTCGCGGCCGTTATCGATTGCCTCTCTCGCAGCGAGATCGGTTAGCCGTTTCGCCCTCGTCGATCGAATCAATTCAATCGACCGTGCGAGGATCGTCTGCATTGCGACGAATTTTATTTATTATTTTTCATTTTTTACTCTTCCCCTCCTCCGACTTTTTGTTTTTAATCCATCACTCCTCGTGCCAGCCACACGTCTCTGCTCTATGTTTGCGAGTAAATACGGAAAAGAACACATAACATCGCGCTCTATAGAAATATCTTTCGGTTGACGCAACAAAAAACGATTCGGTCTGCATCCGCGACGTCGTATAAAAATTTGATCGCTTGCGCGGGACAATCGAGTTTTTCAATGACACCTACCTCCGTATAGTGAATTTACCGAGAAAATCCGTCGCACGGTAAATCACACGGCAGTTGATACGAACCTGGCGAACACCGGAGGACAATAATTCTTTCTCCCCCGCACTGTTCCCGCGCCGCCACAACTCCGGGCGCTTTTTCTTGCCGGACACTTTTCACGCGTGGAATAACCCGACCTTGTTCCCTACGTCGCGCGCAACCAATAATTAATGCCTCTCCAAATGTTTCTTTTGTTTCAGTTACGGAGAAGGAGATCCGTCAATGGTAAGCTCGACTTCGGGGCGACCCGCTATTACCCGCGAGAACTTGTAGAGATTTCGACAGGATGATTAAAGATCTCGCCAAACACCGCGATAATTTACGAGAAGACTGTGTCGATTTGATCTTGTGACGAATTGAGATAAAAGAGTTATCGAGATAAAGCGAGATAGTCGCGATTTTCAGTTGCTAACGACGCGATAATATATTGGAGTTATTTTGCTACTTAGGCACAAAGGATTCCTGAAAGACTGCCCTGATGGACTGCTAACGGAGCAGGTATGCGTTGATTTCAATATAGTCATATTAATCATTTTCTCCTCTTTCCGTGTAAACTAGAATAAAATTGGTGCAAAAATTAACAGATATATATATGTGCGGAGGCCATCGAATTCAAATTAATTGCTGACAGTGAATTGCTAAACATTCCATTCAATGCGAAATATTGGCCAGATACGTGAAAGAGACAATGCGGAGGAGGAAAGGGTTAATCACCCTAAAATCGATAGCGAATAAAAAGCTCGAGATATGCACGGCGCTTGCGTGATTTCAGGGCTTCATAAAGATCTACAAGCAGTTCTTCCCCCAGGGCGACCCGTCAAAGTTCGCCTCCCTCGTCTTCAGGGTCTTCGACGAGAACGCTGTGAGTTTCGACCACACGTGTGTACACGTGGTGGTTTTCCACGAATCCTCACGTTCGTTCAGGCTCGCGCTTGCCATGTCGACGTTCGCGTGCAAGGCCTGTCACGCAAACGCTCTCAAGCGTCTTGCTCGAATTATTTTTCTGCCCTCGTCGCCGCTACCGTTGCCCTCGCTACGTCTTTATTGCCGTTTAACCGTCGGCCAAGCATTTATTTTGACTGGCGTTAGATAAGAATGGGCGAGCGTCCTATTGATTTACATAGCGGATTGCACGCTGAATATATTCTCACGTAAGAGCGAACAGGCGAGCGTCGATTTGGCAGGCGTAAGTCAGCCAATCCGCGATGTTTAATCAGCGCGCACGTTCGCTTGCCGAGTGGATGAGCGTGAGCCAGCATTGGCATTCTCGCCAAATCGGGTGTATTTGTTGAACATATACAGATGGATACACACGGTGTACGTATACGCGAGTCGGGAGTTTTCCTCGGATTTCTCTCGCGAAGCGATTCGACTTGTACGCGATACACGGCTCGAGATATACCCAAGAGAGAGAAAGAGAGAGAGAAAACTGTTTGCTCGGTGTATCGCTCGGTGGCTGTTGGATTGTCAAGAGGCAGCTGTCCGTCCGTTCGACCGTCTGTCTTTCCACAAGAAACGCGATCGCGAAGTGATCCTTGAACGAAGGAGAAACACGATCGATATGCGGTTGTAACGCGACTCGCGACAAATAAGGATACGCCGGATTGTTGTTTCAGGACGGCACGATAGAGTTCGAGGAGTTCATAAGAGCGCTCTCGGTGACGTCACGCGGCAACCTGGACGAAAAACTTCACTGTGAGTACTCCTCGCCCCCTTTTATCCCTCTCGAGAAACTTATCCACTCAAATCTGGAAGAGTTCTCCCGTGAGCTACTCTGTTTGCCCATCTACTCGGGGTACATCGCGAATACGATTGACGGAAAATCGCCGCGTCCTATTTGATGCGGCCGCGATAGTTCGGTGCAAGACTTATGTGTCCGATTCTACTCGGAAAGATAGAACAATTCGCCGCGCTGCTTCCAGATCTCTGTTTGCGAGAACAAGACGAAAAATTGGCGATATATATTCGTGTTCTCTCGCCTTGCAATTTCTAAACAATGCCGAAAGCAAATTCATGTTTTTGTAACAATATCTCGCGGAAGTGACTCGGACGTAACCTCAAAATTCAATAAGATTGACCTGTTCGTTCCTGTTATTTCGTCAAAGAGCAATCGATAAGTCGACACTTACACTTGTCGCGAGTGTCGTCGTTTCGATAGGAGGATTCGCGTGGTCCGCGAGGAACTGGCACACATAAAATTGGAGACGAGTCATGGAATATGATCGCCGCAACGTGAGACGATAAACGGACGGAACACCCTCGATTATCCCTCCCGAGAGGACACACTATCGTGCAACGATAACAATCCCGAAAGTGGACAAGCGGCAATGAGATGTATAGCTTCGTCGGTGATGTCGGGATTATGGAACGGGATATCGCGTACGGAGAGAAAGAAAGCTTACAGAGAGCTCACGGGAGAACAGAGTTATACGAGATATCACCACCGCGTGGTATCTCTCTCCTCGTTCCTCCGAAAGAAGAGCGTCCTTTCGGAGTTTGTATTTCTCAGGAATTTACTCGCAAAAGTCAATTGTGTTTTTCTCTCTTTTCTCGTCTCCTTTCAGGGGCCTTTCGTTTGTACGACGTGGACAACGACGGCTTCATCACGAGAGACGAGATGTACAATATAGTCGACGCGATATATCAGATGGTGGTGAGTTCACTCCTTTCAAAGAACCCGCCGGGTCCGCGAGGAAGCCTGAAACGCTTGCTCGGTCGTCTCGCGATTTAGCCAGATTTTAATATGTGCTCCTGAGCGCTTCGTGTTCGCCAACGCACGTCCACGTGTTTCATATTAAAAAAAAACAAGAAGGAAAAAAGAAGCACATTGTTACACATGTTACATTCTCACAGACGAGATAACGCTCATTAAATAATTAAAAATATAAAAAGAATATAAAAAGAAGAAATTAAAAATGTACAGAGTCTATAAGAGTCATGCACTAAATAAATTTACAAAGAAAATTGTCAAAGGTGTATTATCTTTACATGTATGAATGTAAAGATAATTGTTAGAACTGACTGTACTGTAAAGTCACACTGTTAAAAATTTCAACTAGAGCTTTGAACAATTTGATTTGCATTCATGGAACCACAACATTTCATTTCTCAACGAACGAATATATGAATACTTTACACGCTAGGTAATGCATAATATATATCTAGAGTATATTCACACACTGGGGACAGTTCAAAGCGGAACGAAATGTTTGTACATCATTAATGTAGAAGTCACTAATGCACCTCAGCTAACTCTTTAAGTATCACTGGTACTAATAGGGACCACTTAGGATCGGGCAGTTGAAACCATATAAGTGCTATTTAGAGTGTTTTTGACAATATTTCATTTAAAAAAGTTTTAGAATGTTCCATAAATTATGCGCTTTAAAGAGTTAAACAATTTTCTTCACAAAGTTATTCAACTGAGTTCCAGCGCGCGGCTCTTATAGGCTGAGAGCACTTTAAAATTTCGTTTTATCATAGAGTCTTTAATATTTCATATCGAGCACAAGGTGAAAACGTTCACAGGCTCTCGCCGCATGATCCGTTTATCCCGGCTGAATGGCTCGCTTAGTTGCAATCGTAATGACCAGCCGCGCGCCCGCGTTCTCAGTATTGGGTCAATATTTTATCTCAACGGGCGCGTTACTACGTGTAACTTAACCCGACGGAAGTTATAATCCCTCTCGCGCAGTTTCCGCCGGGCACAAGCGAGTTAGACAGACGAGCTCCCTAATGCGTCTGACAAGCGTGCGCGCGCGATATATGTGGCTTCTTTGAAGTTATAATGTGACCCTCTATTATGCACGTCGCGTACCGTAATCTTTTGTACCGTGCGCGACACTCGTGTAACTAGCTGCTAAAACTTTAATTGTTTTGTCTGAAACGCGTATGTGTTGTCTCGCTGCTGCTGGTGAACAGAATACGCGCATGTCGACCGAGCGACCGACGATTTCCTTCCGCGAGAAACGGGACTTCCTCGCCGATGCAGCGCGCGTTCTAATTAAATCGCCAATACGAACCAAGACGCGTCGTCCGTGATTGCGCGCTCTCGGCCGAAACTTGCTCGCGAACTTGACGTCGCCGACGGGAAAAAGCCGCGGAATCTACAAAGGACCCGTCGCGCGACACGTCCGCGCCAATTCAACGGACCCACGCAGATTCCAGCGCAAAATTCGCGGCCGTCGCAAATTCCGCGTCTGGCGACAACGGCCGCCATTAATCACCTTGAGTTCTCGTTAATATTAATTTTCAAGAGAAATACAGTGACATATTATGTGCACACTCTGTGGGCTTACACATGGTAATCTATAAACATGCGGGTGGCGGCCAACAAAGGCACAGCGCCGAAACTTTGATAACATGTATCGACTTTGAAACAATAAACCTGACAAAGCCGCGTAATACGATTAAGAGCTAAATGCAACCGATAAAGCGATACACTGGATGCATGAGGCGACAACTCGCCCTGAATTAGCGCGGATCTGGCCAATCTCAATTAAAGCCGCGAGTTCAAATAAACGTAGTAAGAATCGATATTACGCGACACGTCGTGTGGACTATCGGGAGATAGTTCATCGGCGATAACGACTTCGCCGGAAAGTCCTATTGCTGCTGCTTGTTCAAACAGAAACCATGTTTCACGACTTCGCGCGCGGGACTTTTATTCCTCGTCGCGGCCATCTTGATTAATGACGTCAGAAGCGAGAAGCGTATGCCCAAAATTCATGTGGAATGATCGATTGAGCGTGTATATATATATATATATATATATATATATATATATATATATATATATATATATATATATATATATTTGTAGAATATTTAAAAAATTGTTCTTTTACTTTAACGACTAATAAACAGCCGTAAAATTCATGTGATAAAATCACGAGGAAAAGTAAACTAAAAAAAGAGTTGTATGCTTGCACGTAAATTTTACGGTTATTTATTGAATTTATTAAAAAAAAAGAAAGATTCTTAGAATATTTTACAAATGTGCCCAATCAATTCCAAAAGTCAAATTTTGTGGATGCACTCTTCTATTTGAAACGTGATTCGTAAGAATTTCGGACATGTGTTTTCTCACTCTGACGTCATTTATCGAGAGTTCTGCGGCAAGAGACCAGAAGCCTCAAAGTATAGCAATTCGCAAATGATTTATCGAGTTAATGTTTTCCGGAATATTTATCTTCCTCGCTTCACCTTCGAAAAAAAAAAGATTGATATTGCGCCGATAAGGAAATAATTATTTCCAACCGTTGGAACATTTCCAATGTAATGAGAACGGCGGGCCGGCGGTCCCGATTAATTAACGAAACCTTAAGCGCCGGATAACGTTTCAGGGGCAGCAGCCGCAATGCGAGGACGAGAACACGCCCCAGAAGAGGGTCGACAAGATCTTCGATCAGATGGATAAGAACCACGACGACAAGCTCACTCTGGAGGAGTTCCGGGAGGGCAGCAAGGCCGATCCTAGGATCGTGCAGGCGTTGTCGCTGGGCGGCGAGTAACCCCCGATTTCCATGGGCGATCCATCGAAATCGGGAGATTACGTCGTCGCCGTTGTCGTAATTGTCGACGCGAGCTGGGCGAGCCGCACGCCTCGATTAATCGGCCGATGAGGAACGACCTGAGAAAGGCAAGTCCACGTCCGCGCGGTTTTCGCATGCACGTAACAGATAGGCAATAACGCGAGCGAACGAAACGGCGTCCGCGAGACGCGGAGATTTTACGTGAGTAATTTTGGGTTGGTCTCTCCCTCTCCCATTCTCTGTCCGCCTCGTCACCGAGGAGGATCTTGGACTATCACACTTCTTTTCTACTGTCTTTCTCTCTCTCTCTCTCTCTCCCTTTCTCTCCCTCTCTATTCTCTCTCACGTTCTCGGAGACAGATCGGTTCTCGTTCCCCGTTGACGAATCGATCCCTCCGCCTTCTTCGTTAACGATCGATCCTCGAGAATCTCGGTGCTAAAATAGTAGGTGTCTCTAGCGTTCTCGAGTAATTGTAGCTTTCAAGGAGACTGGACGTGGCGGATTTCGCATTTTTCGATAGATCGCGTTGCAGGCCTTTAATACCAGATAAATTGTTACGTACGAACGATGAAGGTGTAAATCACTGAGGGGCAAAGTCCCGTCGGTCGCTGTCGGTCGTTTCCCGAGTCGAAAACGACTCCCCTCATCTCCTCTCTTCTCCTCTATTTTGCCCTTATTCCGCCGGCGAAGAGGTAACAATTCGAAGACACTCGACGAGTGCGCCGTTCGAATTTCAACCAAGCTCGCCGGGGTTATTTCCGATTGCGGCGCGATTCTACATTAGGGAAAACGAGGAGAGGCGAAAAAGAGGCGGCTGGGTAGATGGGAACAGATAGGTGGGCACACATATAGCGAGGAAATTGCAGCTGGCCTGAGTATTCAATTGCGAACAACTGATAGTTAATTGTTTGACGTTGCGTGCAGCGGGCGCGGAGGCGACGAGCAAAAATTCCGAAAGTCACAATGAGTTGTGTATTTCAACAAACAACCAACCGACCGACCGACCGATCGATCGATCGATCGGCCCAGCAACAGCGAGACCGATGAAAGCGAACAGAAGACGTGCGCAAATTTCGAGATCGCAAATAGCGCAATGACACCGTTGCGTTCTTCTTTGTTCCCTTCTACCCGCGTTCGTTCTTATTTCTTACGCAACGCGACGCAACTCCATCGAATTTTCGCGCCGTTTTCAATCAATCAAAAGTCAATCGCGATCGCGAGCGCTAATGGGAGCGCTTTTATATAACATCGGCCGATCGTCGTGGATTATTCATCCTCAAATGTCGGCCTGGCGAGAATCGAAAAAGTAGCGAGACCGCGTATTAACGAGCGTTACGTGCTACTGGCAAAATTGCCGCGTCGATTTGACGCCGGTCGACCGGTGTGTACCGGTGCCACTTGTGCGCGCGTGCAAGATGACTTCTCTCGACAAACGCGGCGCCGGTCGCGAGTATCGACTGCGAGTATCGCGTTGCGTAACTCCCGCGCATTAGAACGGCGTGGCGCAAAAATTCGTCGCGTCTATAGCGCGAGGATACACCGATGATGACTGGGCAAACGGGCAAGATGGATAATGGCAATCTACTTTTCGCTATTAATGAACGTTGCGTGTTTACGTCACTTAGCAGGCGAAGCGGCCGGCTTCTTGTACAATTTACCAGCTGCGGCGCGTGCACTATCAATGAAACACCCGCCGCGAGCCCGCATTACGACACCGAAGAAAAGCGCGAGAAATATAATTAAGGTAAACGCGCGCACAGGTAACATGCCGGCTACCGCTCGATTATAACGAGCGGAGTTATTATCGGCTGCGCGCGCGCGCGCGCGCGTTGCGCTCCAGTAACGAGGGATATCCATTGAAAACTGTACAGGCAAAATTGCCGAAAGCAGAAAAGAGAGGAGGAAAAGAAGGGAGGAAGCGCGGCTAATCAGAATAATAGAATGCTTATTAAACACGAATACCGCGTCGTGATAACAACCGATCGTAGAATATTAACGAGCAAAGTTGCATCCACTCCCGCAAATCCCCTTGTAACTCGTGAATCCACCCTTAATCGCAATCACCGATCCTCCCTCGATGCTCCACTTTCGAATTCCGGCGACTCGAATTTTCATTTGAAACGATTTCAGCGATGTGAAATTAACGATCGGCAAAAAAAGAATACCGGGCACGTGATCTCGAATTAGATTGCAATTTCAACGGATTAAGATTAAAAGTAAAAAGGAAAAAAGAACAATGTACGCTGGCAGGGAAAGCGCGAAGGTGGATTTGCACTTTCGCAAAATGGCGATCAATGAGACGACATAAGAAGACGCGTTTCTTTTAAATATTACAAAAAAGATCAGAGATACGGACAACGTGAGGGAGAAATATCAGGTAATAGAGCGAGGAGGAGAAGGTGATTAAGTTAAATGAGGGGTAGGTCGCCTTCGAGTGATCTTTGTGTTTCGCGGGAACGATTAAGACAAACGAGGGGCAATAATTCACGTCGAAAATTTCCTGATTGAGGCGATTGATTTTCTATAATCGCGCACGCGGTGCATATAGGAGACAATAAGGCGAGACAAAGAGCGAACTATTATCAACTACTACGACGACGACGATGACATTGCATTTAGTTGGGGACGTCCGTCGCCTCTCCCACTTCTCACGACGGTGACATTATTGGTATACGGATTTATTGGAATTTCGGATCTTCCGTTCACCGATATTAAGGAACGTCAGATGGTCGTCGGATGATAGCGGGGAAAATCCAGCGCGACGGAGCGACGGAGCGAAGGGATGATTAAAAGGATGAAATTCTAGCGTTACTTTCGACTTGAACTTTCTAACACCTGTATAATCTGAAGTATCAGTGTTTTGGTTTAATACGCGTGAAAGCTGAAGAAAATTTAGCGCCTCAAAGTGGCAGAAGAGACACAAAATGCCACATGTAGGTTCTGAAGAAAGCCTCTCGGCAAAGTTGGTAAGTTAAATAGAATCAAATGAGGTAGATACAGGCTTCGGAGCACCAAAGCAAGCGTTAAATGGAATATTGAGGTCAAAATTATAGGTACGTAACGTACATAAGTACGTAACGTACATGAGTACGCGCCGTGTCTCCGATCGATCCGCCATGACATTTTGCATTCCGCGAGGTACGGCCGGACGAATGTGGACAACGGGCTTAAGGAGAGAACAAAAGGAATGAAAAGTGTGAGAATCGCGAGAAGGGAGGAGGATTCGGACGCGCAAGAACGGAGGGGTTGAAACGAGAAACGAGAAGCTGTCGGTTATTCAGACGGCATTTCTCGCTCGCGCGAGATCGCTGGATTCCACGAGACGAGACGATGAGGGGCGAAAGCCTAGGGTCATCTATACATCTTGCATGGCTCGCGTCCCTCGGTCAAGCGCTTTTCAGGAATAAAGCGTCCGCGACACGCGCGGTCTTATCGCCGCCGGCGGAAGGCGAATAGTTGTCGCCGCCGAGAAAATTGCGAAAGCATCTTGGCCAAAGCAAACCTGGCCCCGGCGAGATAGCGCCAACTTAAATAAGGTCCGAAAGGTTCGCCGACTTATGAAAAATGCATAAGCACTCGGTCCGGCGCACTGGCCATGCAATATGTAACGCATCGTCGAGACTGCATAGCGCGCGTCTAGCTGCGCGCTTCTCCGTCAACGCAACGCGTAAAACCGAGAATTTGGCCGTGCACCGCACGGACAACGACTTTCGGTGTGCCTGGAAGACGTATGTCGAGCTACCTGCAAATTTTATGAAGCGAGCGAGCGAGCGACGGGAGGTAAAACTGCGCGGTGATTAAAATGCGAGCGAGAAAGCCTGCAAAAACTAATTCCATCGTCGCACGGGGGTAATCACTGCAAATGCAATCGCATTAATGAGCAAGTTTTCAAATAAGTTTACGCATCATAACGGCCAACTGATTGACTGGCTGGTTGACGAACGGTAAGAACGAAACTTTGTGAAATCTCATCCCGTAACAGTCAATTAAATGCTCGAAATGCGAAGAGAGAGAGAGAGAGAGAGAGAGAGAGAGAGAGAGAGAGAATAAGGAGATGAATAAAGAGTCCTCTTTGGAAAGCCGGAGTTCACGGTGCTATTGAGTTTTCAAAGCGATGTATCTCTTTTCTATCGCCACACGCTCGCTACTCCGCGATGGATGATGTGTGTAAAGCAAGAAGAGATACGAATCAATGTAACACAGCAATGAGTCTCCGCGTGAGAGAGAAATGTCGCTGAAACGCGACGACGGAGATTCGCGAAATCTCTGGGGAGATTTAAGCACGTGACGCGTCATGAAAGCGCGTGTTATTACTCCAAATAACGTGCACTCGTGGCAAATTCGCAGGACGACAGAAATCTCGCCGGAGTGACGCGTAAAAATCAACTCGATGAGCGATGAGAGCGATGAGACGACGACGACGACGATAGCGCTCGGTGCAATAAGCAAATATTAATTCTGCGTGATATATGCGTTCGATTTCGCGGCTAAATAAATTGTCCTCAGTCTCAGAATTCTTCCGCGTGATTTAAGAACCGTTATTCATACTGCCCGCGGGCCGACCGCACAATGCCGCGAAATTCCATGAATCTTCCCGACCAACTCGCTTGCTCGCTTTTTAAGCACTGCGTTAACGCCCGAAATTTTAACTATGCAGGACACGCGATACGTTATTCATGCGTTTTCCACCGGAGCGCGCGCGTGCACGAGCGCCTCAATCTCTTGATTTTTCACGAAAATTTATGCTGACCCCGCATCCAGCCCGGTTGTAACCTTCCCACGCGTAGAATTATGAGTGGCTCGGCCAGCATCGGCGTCGCGATAAAATGCTACCGTCACCTTGCCCTTGTGTTTCAATCTTTTTCGCACGGCGGAAAGACCGGTATATCGGAAGGAAACGGCTATACATTCCTCAGGATTCTTCGCGATATCATTGTGCGTTCGCGCGCTCCGAGACTCATTTTTCACGACGCTCCGCGAATTTCTGTCGTGCGGTGTGCGTGAGAACAGCTAAGCGTTAGGTCGTGAAATTTACGGGATGTAACAGCAAGAGCTCTCTTGTCGCGACGTCCATATTTCTCTGCAGTTTTAATCTCGGTAGGGGTGAGTAACGAGTCTTGTCACTTTTCCCATCGATGTCAAATTTACATCAGTTATGAGAATATCCTTCTCTGCCGTCTCATCTTTTCTTAATCTTTTAGCCGCGCATGGCGAACTCACCGACGACTCTCAGTTGTAAATTCAAGCCGCGCGCGCGTGCTCGCATCCTCAACACCGGCGCGTCGTCCACAACCCCTTCGACGATTCACCCCCGGACTCACCCCTTCGTGCTCCTTCGTTCGCTTGCACTCTCGCTCAAGTTCTCACGTGGTCAGAATTTCATTCCAGTGGTGTGACTACGGATAAGTTTATTTCCGACTGAAACATGAACTATGGCCAAAGCCCGCAAAGTCTTTCTTCCTCCATCCCTCTGGAAAACTTTCAGTTTCTCCCTCGAAGTGCGCCGGCCGCGATTCGCCAAAAACTCGTTCCCTCCGCAAGGGATAACGACGTCGTCGTTCCTCGCGTTCCCGATTTACTCTCCAATTCGCCGCTAATTTCGTAACCCCCGCGCCAAGATTTACAGCCGGCTGAAATTTGAGCTATTCTTCAACCCTTCCTTTATTTCCCACCTTTCCATTCGTAAAACCCCCCGGTATTTCCCGCAACCGCCGCCGCCGCCGCCGCCAACCCCGAGCATATTTTTCTTCTCACTGCTTGCTTGCCCGCCCGTGCGCTTGCTCGTTCGTTCGCCTTACTTTTTCAACCCCCTCCAACGAGCTCGTTTCACTATTTTCTTTACCGAGGGTTGCGCTGGCGGAACACATGCAGCGAGCAATGGCGCGTTTAACAGATTCGAATTCAGCAACGCGATGATAACAGAACGTAGGAAATGCCGAAATAAACGTTCGCGCATCGCAGTACATTAGCTTGGCGGGAAAGAGAGAAAGCCAAGCACGCGGCGATTAATTACATCCGTGATGAACTCGAGAAGCATTACTCTCGAGAAGCATAACTCTCGACATCGCGTTCGCTTATGACCGCTTAAAAGGCGTTCAAGAGAATTCGCGCCTGTAACTGCTATTATCCGCTTCAGAATTATAGACGTACTCCAATTGCATCTAGATACACACACACACACAGTCTCAAAAACATTTCGTACAAATAACACGTCGCGAAGGTCATCTCGCAAAATTTGCGTCCGCGACCGCGTGCCCGTTCGTCTACGACCTACTGACGAGCAAATATTAACCCGTCCTCGTCGAGCTGCCTGAAGTGCCGATCCCTCAAACGTGATCGAGGTCGGGAATAATTGGCGGCGAAAAGGTCAATTTCCGTAATTCATCAGCAGCCAGCGCCGTCGCGCCGATGAGATATCAATCACTCGTTATGGATCAATGTGATCCTTTTATTTAGCGCCGTCAAATATTTACGATATACGAACGACACTCGCGCGAGCGGACGATGCATCGTGCGCGTGTCCTCGCCTCGAAACGGCGAACGTTTTCTCTGCGTGACGGGCATCGCAAAACGACTCTGATATTGGCAAACTTCCCGCGGCGACTGTGTTTTTTCTTCTCTTCTCCCGTCAGCAATCTCTCTCTCTCCTCTCTCTCTCTCTCTCTCTCTCTCTCTCTCTCTCTCTCTCTCTCTCTCTCTCTCTCTCTCT